CGTGGGATCCTCTTAATAAAGTTCCTGAACCTGACAGCTTGATGACGGTTGAGGTGAGTGTCATAAGATACTCTTTGCTCAATACGACCTGTGGGAATACAAAACAAAAACAGATAATAACCATTATATGAAAATTTTATTTATGAACAATATTAGGGGCCATTGTGACATAAAGTTACAAACCGCTTGTAAGATGTATGAAATTTACCCTTAGACAAAACTTACACCGAGTTGGTTATTCATTGTTTGAAAACGATACCTTCATTCAACGCCAAGTTGGCGTTTCTAGTAATTTTTTAGAATCGGGAAACATTCAGCAGGAAAAATGCAAAAAAATTTAAGCAAAAAAACAAATAAATGAACCTTGCGATGATTTAAGAATTACAATTGTCTCAAAATACAACCAACTATAACATGCAAATTATCCGCTTAAGTCACATAAAATCCTAGAACTTCGTTTTTATCGACAAGAAATTGACTTTTCAAAAATTAAAGTTATCCAGCAGGCCCTTACCAGTTCGTCCATTGATAACAACACCATTAAAGCCACGTCTATGTAGAGAATAATCCCTTCGATTGACTCGTATGTAGGCCCGTGAGCGTCCATATAAAGTACGACCGTGTTTCTTGTCCACGAAGCCTTGACTCTCTATCGATACTCGAATGTACCCTACAAGTTGAGGTGTTAACTCTGGTTATAAAGCATCAATGATTACCATTTGTTATCAAGATCAGTATTAAAAATGGAGGCAGTATGTTTCCTTTTTGAAAGGAAACTTTAATTCGATCTGTTGGAGATCGTTTTGTCAGAAGTTGTTAAAAAGAAATGGTACGAGAAAACGCTGATTCCTCAGCTTTGCATGGTGCATCCTGTAATGCGTATAAAAATCACGTAGTCAGGCGAATAAGCGCGTGCAGAAACACCTTATTGTTTTTCGAGACATGGATCAGGTAAAGAGTTAAGATAGTTTTCAGCTCTTGAACGAGGACGTTTACCTATATTTTTTATTGCATCATTTTTGTGTTTAATTTATCTCCTTTAAATGGAGAAATAAAAGCAAAATTCATCGAAGGGTAAAAAGATCTAGCTAAAAGTACACATGACGCCCGTCACTCGATGATGCAAATCATGACCTCGAAAGGAACGACTCGAGGAACGCTTTGAGTCCATGTTGTTTAAAATTTCGAAATATTTCTACAAATAATATTTGGAAACGTTCGATACGTTTTAAAGTTTCTACCAATCAAGTTTTTTTCTAAGTGTAAAATTATAAAACCCTTGCTTCCAGCTACCGCAAAATGTACTGTGAACCCATGAAATGACGCGCGTGATTAGTGCCGGTATAGACATAAATGAGGTAAGATTGGCCCACTATATCTCTTGAACAAGCATAGTGACCTATCTTTTTCCTTGTATTTTTCGAAATAGATATTGGTAGGGAACATTTCAGGAAAGTTTAACAAAAATTGTTCCATAACCTTTTTTTTCTTAGGAATAACCTTAATATGAGAACGATTTATTTCATACGTATTTGGTTTAATTGTTAAAGAGAGAGGCATTCATTGTTAAAAAAGTATATTTGTCAACACTTTTTGACACAATTTTGTGGCCTGCTTAGGATAATAAGTCTTAATTACACCTAAGTATACGGTGCTGAGTAATATTATTTAAATATTTTTTAGGTTAAACTTACTTCTTCTAACACATCTTCGTTCACATTCTGCTTTTGATCGAAAGTTGTTAGCATTTCCTCGGCACCCGCCATAAATGAACATTTGGCACCTTCCAGTCGCCCTGTTATAGTACCATCTTCGCATTGCAGCTCGGCAAGGGCCAGTGACTTTTGGAAGGTTGCAAACTCCTCCTTTTAAGC